CTTGTATTTGGAGTATTTACAGAACTCTAACAACTCAGTAAGACTAAAAACCTAGTTAAAAAATGGGCAAAAATGGGGCGCCTGGGTGGCTCAGTTGTTAAAGCGTCTGCCTTCGGCTCAGGTCATGATCCCAGGGTCCTGGGGCTCCCTGCTCTGCGGGAGGCCTGCTTCTCCCTCTCCCACTCCCCCTGCTTGTGTTCCCTCTCTCGCTGTGTCTCTGTCAAATAAATAAATAAAATCTTGAAAAAATAAAATTAAATTAAAAAAAAAATGGGCAAAAATATCTGAAGAGACATTTCACCTAAGAGATACATTACGCTAGTAAGCACATGAAAAGATGCTCATTGTCATTAGTTATTATGGAAATGTAAATTAAATTTATTAGAATGGCTATAAGCATAAAAAGTGACAATACCAGGTATGAGCAAGGATGTAGAGACACTGGAACCCTCATCCATTATGGTATGTACAATCACTTTGGAAAACAGTTTGAAAGTTTCTTAAAATGTTAAAAACAGACTGCCATACCGCCCACCAGTTCTATGGTTAGGAAACTTCCCAAGAAAAATGAAAATATGCCCATGAAAGACTTACAGATCAATATTCATGGCATCATTATTCATAATAACTGAAAACCGGAACAATCCAAATGTCCATCCATTTGTGAAAGGATAAACAATGGAGTATCATTGGGCAACAGAAAAGAAAGTAGTACTGATGCATGCTACAGCATGTATGGACCTCAAAAACATTATGCTGAAAGAAACCAGACACAAAAGGCTGTGTACTGTTTGATTCCTTTTATGTAAAATTTCCAGAAAAGGCAAATCTATAGAGTCAGGAGATTAGTGGTTGCCTGGAGCTGGGGTGGGAGCAGAGACTGGATGCAAACAACTTGAGAAACCTTTTCAGAGTGATGGAAATGGCTCAAAACTGGATTATGGTAATGTTACATAACTTTACTTTACTTAAAATTACTGATTTGCACACTTTGAATAGATGAATGGACACTATGGTAAGTAGATCATACTCAAATAAGGCCTTTTTTTTTTTAAAGGATAATTGTACTCCCATCCACACTGCTTGATTGTTGCGAGAGTGTCAGTATCATTCAGCACTTGGCAGTGATACTTCCAATATTTTTTACCAAATTGGCTTTAAAAAATCACATCTCCTTATTCTTAATAATATACATTTCTTTGATCTCTAGCAAAACTGAACACTTCACCTATTTGAGTTTGCTATTTTCTTATAAGAATATACATCTTTTCCATAAGGACATGTGAGACTTTTATCTTTTTAAAATAGCAAACTTTTTTCAGTGATATGTGATACAAATACTTTTTCCCAGTTTTTCGTAAGTTTTTAGATTTTGTTAACAATGGGTTTTTGTCATACTGAAGTCATGAAGTCATGAAGTCACATCCATCTGTATTTTCATTTACAGAGTCTGTCTCTGGTGTTATGACACGTGATATTCTTTTGAAACATTAATCAGAAACCTTGAATATTCTGAGTTAAGCATTGCTTGTGCCAAGCCCAGAACTACTAGGCCTCTCCACTTTAAGAGATAAAACCTAATTTCAAATTTCAAAGCTAGAGGCAGACAGCCTTTTCTTCCTTAAGCCTTTGAGTGTAAAGAGACACTAATGTTTACACCCCAAATTCATGGAAAATTGCCTCATTAGTGATGTCATACACTAGACATTTCCAATAGTTCCAGTGATGAGGTACTGGAAAAATTAAAAAAAAAAAAAAATGATGTGAAAATGTGTTTGCTGTTGCTAATCATGCCAGAACCATGACTCTAGGCCTCACTGGCTGATCCCTCTTTGTAGAACATCATATCATCACATAATAATGTGACCACAGCAGGCATTCATGGCTGTCTGACCAGAACAGTCTAGAACTCAGTCACTCATGATCTCACCACCACCTGCATTCATGCATATTATCATTTTTCAGGCTATCCCACTCACTACTAAAAAGTGGTGGGTGGCCCATCACCCATTAGGTAGTAAATACCGGAAACGGAACTTTTTTCAAATTTAGCAAACTCAGAAAGAGATCTAATGTTAACTAAACAACTCCTTACTGTTGAGTGCATATTGCTTCAAAAAATTCTACCAGTTATAAAAAAAACCATTTGGTTTAATATAATTATCATACACAAAGACACAAAGATATAGATAAAACAAAGATATGA